CCCGCGGCACAACCCCGGCACCCCCCCAGCTCCTCTATTGCAGCCCCCCCCGATCCAGCCCCTGCTGAAACTGACCAGCAGCAGCTGAATCAGGGACGCCTGGGGCAGAGCCGGACTATCGTAAGGGGGGGGCTATGAGGGGTCTGGGATGGCATCCCCTCCCACCCCACTCCAGACCCCTCATAGCCCCCCCTTCTGATAGTCCGGCATATCTGATAATCCGGTACCCCCTGGGTCCTAAAGGTGCCGGATTATCGGAAGTTTACTGTACCTCACTTGCCTTCTCTCTGTACCACCTTGGAGCCATCACAGCTACAATACAGCTTACATCCCCATAGGAGATTACCAATAGCAAGGTGTGCGATCCTACACCCAGAGAGACCAACCAAGCAGCTGCACCACTCCACTGATTCAAGTTTATTTTCATCTTGTTTCCTTAATATTTTCCTAACAATTTCTCATGTACTCAACCGCTATAGGCTGGGCCCAGCAAGAGGTACACGCAAGGGGTTCATGAGTAATGTTCCCTCTATTTTGTTTCCATTGCCACCTGCCATTTCCTTGAGAAGGCATACGTAGCTCTATCATCAGCAGTCTTCAGATAGGAGCCTCAGTGTGGAGGACCTCCCCTCAGATCTTTTTAGTTCCAAGGTGGATGACCTCTTGAAAAACTTAAATGAGACTAGATCTACTGCTTCCTTTCTGGGTCTTCATGTGTCAATTAGGAGGCAACCATGGAATAAATTTTGTTCTGTGCACTTAGGCATGTGTAGATGTGCACCACCAGTGGAAACACCTGCAGCTGGCTGTAGGCACTCTGCTAATCAGCTGGGTGATATTTTAATTTCTCCTGGGCTTACAGGGAACACTGTTCAGGAGACTGTCTCGGTTCTTAAAAAGTGGCTGAAGCAACTGTAGTTTGGTTTCATTGACATCAAATACATTTTTCTGAAATTTGGAAAGCTTGTAGTCTGAGGCTGTCTAAGACCAGGATTGTCCTTTTATTGTGTGTATACAGCACCTAGCACAATGGGGCCTTCTCCTGAATGAGGTCTGTAGGTGCTATTGTCATACAAATTAACCAAATGGAAAACTTCAGGATTTAACAATATTCTGTTACTTACAAATAACACTAGTATGCAACAGCTAAGGCAAGAAATGCCCACACCAGAGGGGAGGGAGAGGAATGTTAAACTCATTAAGGAGAGATGGCTGAATCTAAATTAGGACCCATGGGGCAGAGGTATGAAGTCACGAAGGGCCCTATCTGCATTTGCAGGGCACAACAGAGATATTAAAGGGAATTTGGGATAACTAAGTTAGAATATGGACGGTCACAACAAGTATTGTGCCCTGAAGTGACTGAAATGCCATTGCACAAGGAGAAAAGGGGGTGCTAGCATCAGGCAGGCTCAGGCCCATAATAAAGTTAGCTACTGCCCTGTGAGGACCTTTGCCAGGACTGTTTTATTCCTCACCTTCCCCAGTGTCTTCTCCCATCTCAGTGTCAGGCATTACGTGGTCTAGTACCTCTCAGCCCTTTTCCTTTATTAGGGGCTGGCATGAGCCAGTTGCTTGAAATTTAACTTTGAGCTCACCAGTTACTCACAGCAGCCCTTCTCTGACCTACTCTCCTAACTCCTCCTCACCTCAAACTGCCTCAGAGAAAGGAACAGATCCTCTTCCTGCTACAGTCTCTATGTACTGTTCCTTACCCCTTTCGGCAAACTCAGGAAAGCAGCACTGCATCCCAGCGCATTCAGATTTTTCCCCAAACCCAGAAGACATCACTTTTGCCTCAAAAAAGGCATAACATCCACAGAATCTGAACCCCACACACCTGTCAGTGTAGCCAGATGGATGCAAAGAGAATTGCAGGCAGTGTTATGGTACCCAAGCTGGAGAGGGATGAAATGAGAAGATGAAGAACCATCTCAAAGAAGGGAGAAGGGGTACATAGGAACTGAGAACAGCCAATTTTCAGAGGAACTGCCAGGGCTACAGTAACCATCCAATCTTGCTGTGTAAAATTAATAGAATAGAGTGAGATTTTGGGATACTACCCTAATAAGAAAGTTACTCCATGCACTAAACAAGACCACAAAGCAATTTACTGAGCAGTTAATTTACATGAATTATTCCAGAGCTGAAACATCAGCCAAATTCCAACTAACTTGGAGTCTTCATTTCTGCTTGTCACTTTAAGTAGCGTCCAGTGGTTGTCTGAAGAATACACTCTTATTTTGCAAAAAACTTTTAAACAAGAAAACAAATTGTTGCATGGTTCAGACTGGCAAAAACCCAGTGTTGTGCTGTCTATAATGAGCTCCCCTGAGCCAATATATGTTCATCCCTATGGTGTGCCAGGAAAGATCATTTTAGAATTAGTAGCATATGCACAGGGAGTAAAGTGTGATTTCTCCTTAGTCAAAGTTACCTTGTGTTGGTCCCTTATACTGTGAGAGGTCTTGCTGCAGCAGACTGTAGGTTTTTGGATGCCAATCCGTGTCTGTTTTCTGGGAATCTATTACTGAGACAAGGGCTCCTGCACTTGTAGGAAAGAATGCCCAGAATGGATACCAAGAACCCTTCAAATCCTCATTAATACAACTCATGAGCTGTTGCTCCAGAGGGAGGAAATTTGGAAATTCCCTGGTCGTCTATATCATGAACCTTGTCGTCTATGGAGAGCTGACTGCAATTTGAGTAGAGCAAGCACTGCCCACAGGCAGACTTTGCCAGCGTCAAATTTCCACTATTGAAAGACAACAGAACAAATCAGTCTAAACAACAACTAGCTGGAAGAAGGCAATTGCTTAACACAATCTCACCCTGGAAACTCGCAGAAAATAAAGGAGCCGCGGTCTGTGGCAGCAGAAAAGTGCCATTCTTACATTTGTGTGTGTGTCACTTAGGTATTATTGGTGCATTAAAAATGTAGAGATGTTATTGCTTTGGCCTTCTTCCTCTAACTCATGGCTTCACTTCAGCGAGGTGGCTTGAACTCCATTTGTTTTGATGTAGTGTGAAGACAGCCATAAATTCTATGGGCAATCTAGAATTGCATGGATTAGCTTAACATTTGTAGAGGGCTCAGCTTCAAAAATTCTATAATGATGTCAATATTTGTAGTGCTCTTTAAAAAGAGAAGGCTCATGGCTAACCTCTCCATGAAGGGAGTGGAACTCATCTTCTAGGGTAGCATCGGTAGGCTTTTCCCTTTTTCAGTCAATTAGGAAGTATAAGGGATGCTAGAGATCCAGCTCTAGGTACTACCTCTGAAAAATCAAGTTCCATTTCCCCCGCTACACAAAAAGTTACTCAGTCTAGTGAGCCCTGTGGACAGAAGTGTGCATATTAGCTTTTCTGGAGAGCATATAGACATTAGAGTATGTCCAAAAATCCTGTAAACGACCAATGTTAAATTGAGGAACCCAGAAGGCTAGAGGGCTGCTGGCTTCCTTAAGAAACCATGCTTAGTAGTTCTTCCAGCCTCCCCCTGAAAGTGAGAAAGCAGTGTATGGTGAGCATTTAAACAAAACACAAACAAACCAACTGCACTAGGACAGGTAGCAGGGAATGTAATTTAAATATTAATACCAAGAGAGACACAGATAAAGAAACCAGGAAGGCAAAAAGGCAACAGCAGTAATGTAGCTCTCCTAAAACGTTACAATTTTGTTTAAGGTTCTGTAAAAGTTCAACAGTAAAGTAGTATTAGTTTAGTATGACAAGCCTTACCCCATAACTCAAAATTAAAAAAATCCTTCCCCTTCTTGATTTGATTTCCCCATAATTTACACATCTGTTAATTTTCAACATGTAGGCCCTGATTCAGGAAAGCACTTAACCAAGCACCAAAGTCCATCCAGGCAACAATTAAGCACATGGGAAATTTTCCTGAATGAAGACCCTAAATAGCATAGACTTGCTAGGTTATAGTTATGGCTATGTCTAGACTACGCTGTTTTCGAAAGGATATGCAAATTCACTTTCAAGAGCAGATCTTTCATAAGTGAAAGTAGTCTGGACACTTTTTTTGGGAAAAACCCAAAGGAGCAAGAGCTTTACTATGTTGTTCATGTTATATTTAACAGAATTCATTTCTAGTGCAATTAAGTCATTCTTCTTCAAACAAACTATATTTTGGGAAGGGGTTGGGTAAGACACCCTAAACAAAAAGAAAAAAGCCTACTGAAATGG